ATACAGTTCAGTTGCAAACAACTTAACCGAACAGGGGCAGAATGGTCATTTATCCAACAACAGCTGTTAGTAAGTTGTTCTGAATAAGTTATCCCAAACAGCATGTCAGCTTATTCTGATAATCTGCAGATTATCAGAATAATCTATTTATCAGCAAATTATAAATAATCAACAGCTGTCTCAAACCGACCCTAATTCAAACTATGTTTAGTGTTTCAAGTGTAGTAATTCATATGTAATATTTCATATATAGTGATTCATATGTAGCATTTCATGTGTAGTAATTCATGTTTCGTGTTCTTAACATACCATGTTTAATTCATCTCACATAACAAGCAAAAAAAAAAGATAAAGGAAAAAGGAGGAAGAAAATATCTTACTTGTAGGTTATCTCCATGAACATTAAAATATGGCATAAAGTTGCAAAACTTCAACTGTAGAACGCCAAAAATTAAGGACAAAACCAAATGAAGAACACCGACAGTAAAAACCAACAGCAAAATTTTAAACTTAGGAGAAACTTCATTTTCATATCAACTAACAAATTTAGGAATCGAAACAAACCACGACCTAAATACCACTTTAAAACAAAAATTTAAAATTCACCAACATAAAGACTGAAAACCAAACCTAATTAGATCCGACACGAACCAACGATCACACATGCCCTATGTTAGTCCAAATCTGGAAGCCTAAGTTAGTTTAATTGAAACCATAGATTGTGATAAGAACTAAGACCTAAAAAACAAACAGCCTGACCACTTAAAACTAAAGAAGATGTCCTAGAATGAAGTAACTCGTGGTTATTGATGAAGAAATTTTGAAGCACCTTGAAACTAAGAAACCCTCCAGATGTCATAATAGTCATGGCGCTCAATGAGGATTTCTGGTTAAAAGGATGGTTATAGTTTAAGGATATCATTGCAACCGGAATAATGGGAAGTAGTAGGCATCTTGATCTAAGGAGTTATTCTCAATATTTAGGTTAGTCCACCTATTTGGATAAAGTCTAGGTGTGTTTGAAACTAATGGTTTCACCTCCATCTAGAAATCCTTCCTACCTAAACTTGTACTTCATTTTAGGAATCCCTTCAAATCCAAACAAATGATTCAACTGTCTAGTCTGTCCTAGCAATCCCGACCATTCAATATCTTCAAACCTAAATTATCCAACTTGTTACCAATCATTTTCATTCTCACCAATACTGATTATTTCAAGCTCTTCAGCCACCACAAAAAATTTAATCGTTTAGGTAAATCTTCCTCCTTGGACGGTTAAATCATTTGGTTTGGGACTTTTCAATACATTGTCATAGAACTGCAAGTCTCATTATATCTCTTTGAGTTTAATTCCTCCAAACTATAAGCTCGAATCTTTCGTCACATTTGAATTCTCAACTTTGAAAGTCCAACATTGTAATTTGAATAACATAGGTCATTATATTAATCAAGAGTTTTCTTTATGGCTCACGACTCTGAATATGTAATTAATAGTGAGAATTTGCCATTGTAAGGATTCTAGACCCTCGAATAAAATAAGCATTATCTTACATCCATAATGTAAGGGAAAAAATATGGTTCCATAGGTCCACAAATATGATTATCATCTGAATGATAAGACTCATTTTAAGGTAGTATTCCTCCCCTTAGGGTTGTATATATCATTTAGATAAAAATCTTAAATATTATAGTAGACACATCAACACAAAAATCCCCCACAAATACAATTATCACCTTTTTGTTTTGAATAGACACAAAACAATATCTCTCAAGAGTCTAAAGTAGATCTTTCGGAATTTAGGCAAAGTCTCTCCTGCATAAGCTAGATGTAGAGCCTAGATAACTGGTTAACTTTGGTGTAATCAATTGATCTCAAGTTCAATTCACGAATACAACCTCTCTAAAATTGCAAAGATAAGGCTAAGTACATTAACTCTTCCCTAGAAACTGCATTAGCATGAACTCTATACTTTAGCTCAAACCTCTCTACTATACTTGTATGGATAAGGATTGGGATCTTGCACTTGCAAAATACAGTTTATAGAAGCTTGTTAGCCAAACTAGGCTTTTTTTTTTTTTTGAATTTTGAATTTTCCATGCAGAAGACGATTGCAACACCAACTCAACTCTTTTAAGCTGTGAAAATACTTTTGGCACATAACAATGGTCAATTTAGAAAACCATATCAGTTGCAAACTACAGCTTTTCCTTCCTGGCCTTTCTCATTCACAGACTATTACACCATCCGTGAGCTGCTCTTCAAAAGTCAACCAATGTTTCCAAATCTAACCTAAAATTGTAAAGGCCACTTTACTTCCCTATACTAACGATTTGTCTTCAATATAATGGAACTATAGCTTTCTGGTGTGCAATAAAGTTCAAGGAATTCATTAAACCTTTTCCTCGAGATTTTTTTCTTCCCCCAATCTTTCATTTTCTAAATTGATTTTTATTCAATTTAAATTTGAAGCCAACATTGTCTATTGCTTGTACCATTAATCCACAGAGATAATGTACAAGATATTTAAATATTAAAAACTATACATTATAGGATATTCAGAAGATTTAATTAATTCAATTAGCCAAGACACCCAAATGATCTAAAGAGAATTAACATTGCTTTAGATAGTCCTTCTTTAAAAACAATGAAAATAGCCACATTGATATAAAAACTGGTACTAAAATAGCTCTTCAATAATCTTAGTGGAAGACTTATCTTCATTTTTAATATTTTCGTAAGTTTCATGTATATTTGATTGTCATTGGAGCGGGAGATACATCAAAACATGGGATGTAAAACTTCCCCTCCTTTCCACTTATAAAAGAGGAACTAATGTATCTAGAGAAAGACAGTTAAATGTTGAAACAAATTTGAACTTGCAAACTGAAGCTCCTCCTCTCCATTTCCTGGTTGGTCCCTCCCTCCCTCCCTCAAGAATATCTCCGCAGCATCAATCCATCAAATATTTTATGTAAATGTTGGTAAAACATGATTTGATGAGATAAAAGAAGTCCGCATTTTCAATAAATTCAATATAAAATGAATGGATACATCAATTAAATTACAAAATTAAGATGACTATAAATTCTAAAAAATTAGCACCTCGTAAAACATAATTGTTTAAGGTTTTAGTAGTGATTGCATAGTTCTGTGATACAATTTGACGTACAAGTCAACACAGATTTTCGTAGAAATTAGGGCAAATAGAATTTTTTATCGCAATAATCCAAACAACTCACATGACTACAAAAGATAAGCACCTACAGTTCGAGAGGTAGGAGGTCTCTCCTACTTCCTACAATTCAAGAGATAGGAAATCTCTCCCAAAACCTAAAACCTAAATCTCACAACTCAATCTCATGAATATCTCTAACCCTAGACATGATAAACCTATTGATACCCAATAATAATAATAATAATAATAATAATAAAAAAATTCTAAATTGTTCTTAGGCGTACAAAATATAAATGTGTAGTGCACTTAGACTAGGAGCCCTCGTAACAATCCCTCCCCTAAAAACACCTTGTTCTCAAGGCACGCACCGAAAACAAGTGTCTCAACTTCTCATTCTCTGCCACCTCGTTCTACACTATTAGAACTTGTAATATTCGATCCTTGCAACTGTGTCCTAGGGTAAACTTCTCATCATATCGAAAACAAAACTCATTGGCTCGCTTCTCTCGAATTTGTCTCTTTAAGGCGCTTGAGTGTTGCTCTTAGTTGTGATTCATTAATTGTGTCTTGGGCAGCCACACTCTGCACTTCCACTATTTGAACTTTTGGCATCGTCATGGTTGAAGCAGTTTCGTACGATGCTTCATCTATGAAGGCTCTTGCTAGCTTCCTTAATCTGGTTCTTGTCCTCCACCATCTAGGCTAGCGCCATCATCACCCACAATCCCCATAGTCTTAGTAGTCAAAGTGTTGTTTGTATGTCGGGTTTTAAGCCCTTCATGAAATTCCCCTCCATTCTTGCTTCATAAATCCTCCATAGTTGTCCTGACAATAGTTTAAACCTCTTTCTATATTTCATGATCGTCCCCTCCTGAGTCAAGGCATAGAATTGCTCGTATATATTTCCTTCCCGAATGGGTTGGAAACGTTTCAACAAACAATCCTTAAATTCATCTGATGAATGAATCGGCTATATAACCTCCCTCCACTAAAACCTAGCTAAGGCTTTCCCCTCTAGACATAATCCCGCTGCCATGAGTTTCTCCTCCCCATCCTCGAAGTATCTCTCCGTCCGGTACACCCACCCATGTGCGTCTTCTCCCTCAAAGATCGGTAGTTTCAGCTTCCTAACTCTAACATCTCCACCCGAACTTTCTCTTCAGTCGTTCTTTCTCCCCATGTATCGAGGGTAAAACTCTTTTCTTCGACCATAGCCATATCCCCTCCCTACTTCTTTCCCTTCTTCTTCGCGCTCCTCCATACCTCTGATATAATCTCTTCTCTATGTTTCAACACAGTTGCATTCATCAGAATTCTTTAATTCAACCCCAATCAAAGCCTTGAGAGTGGGGTCATGATGGAGGATGTATTCCTCCTCAAGTTCCTCGCGTTCTATCTCTTTTCCTTTCGATTTAGCCAATGAATCTCCAATTAACCTTTGGGTAGGGTTTGCAAATTGAACCATCAGCAGGGTCTTGGATTGCATCTCAATAAGCTTTTGTATCATTTCTCAAATTTCCCCCATGCTCTCAAATCAATTCTCCATGGAACAAAATCTATCTTCTATGGCGGCGAACCTTTCTTCCATCCCAGAGCTGATTTGGTTGATCTCTTCTCCAATTTCTTCTCCAAATCATCTATTTTCTTAGCTGTCATTCTTCCCAAAAAGTTTTCAATAAAAAAAATAGAAACCTGAAATGTTGTTGATGATTTCCAAACACTCTAATTCACGTGTACCCCGAGATACCATGAGATAATAAGTTGTTCATCAATCCAATTTATATATATATATATCTCTGACGTTGGAAGCTGGGTATAGCGCAAGCCAACGATTTAGGGAAGAAGAGATGATCCATGGCGACGGCACTGAGGGGTGTATTGGGAGCTAAAATTCCGCCCAACTCGAAGACATTGGAGGAGGTGAGGAGCAAGACCTTTGATTTCTTCAGAAAAGTGTGTCGCTCACTTCCCACCGTGATGAACATCTACAACCTCGACGACGTCGTTACCATCTCTCACCTCCGATCGACCATCTCTGCAGAGATTCGCAAGAACGCCAACGTCACCAACCCCATGGTGATTGACATGCTTCTATTCAAAGCAATGGAGGAGCTGACAAACATAGTTGATCATGCTAAGCAGCGACACCACATAATTGGGCAGTATGTTGTCGGCCGCGACTGCCTCGTCAAGGATTTGGGCACCAAAGATCAAGGAGCTTCTGATTTCCTCAAGCGTTTCTATGAAACCAACTATTTCTAATTCCAGATCTTTATCAAACAAGTAAAGTATCTTTGTACTTCTCACATTTTGAAACTATTGCAAATAATTTTCAACTTTTAACTGATGAGATAGAATGTATTTCTTCCAAGATCATCTGAAATTATTTGCTTATAAAATTTGCAAGTTTTGATTGTGAATAAAGTATGTTGTATATCTGTATATATATAGGGGAGTTTCGGGTCTCTGTAAGTCTTGATCCCCACGCGGCTTCTCTGCTAGCCCTAATCGTGACTAAATATCGAGGACGAAGTTAAAGGAGATCCCATAAATGGTTTCCCCGCTAGTCCTTACGACAATCACATGCTGTGATTGGTCTGCTTCCCCGCTAGCTCAAGTCGCAACAGTTTCGCAAGGTCAAGTTGATGTTTCCAACGTAAATCATTCGTGATTGTATCGCACGCCCTGCGTCCTTCGCAAGCCGCAACTCCAATATTAGTGTCGCTATACCCCCACCGTGATCCCTGCTTCCCCGCTAGCTGTGCGAGACATGGGAGCTTCGGGTGTCTATTCGCCATTCCCTTTGTCTCTTCTAGCAAGATCCGAGGGTTGCTCACAAAGGGATTCGTAGACGCTTCTCAGCTAGTTCTCACGCAATCAATGATTATTTCTCAAGTCGACAGAGAATCCATGTTGATCTCCCAGAAATCGTGGCTCATTGCTCTAATATCAATTTAATGTGATTCGACGTAGAAATAGACGCAGGTTTTCATAAAAATTAGGGAAAATAGATATTTTTATTGCAATAATCAAAACAACTCACACGAATACAAAAGAAAAGCACCTACAGTTCGAGAGGTAGGCTATCTCTCCCACTTCCTACAATTCTAGAGGTAGAAAATCTCCCTCAAAACCTAAACTTAAGACACACAACTCAATTTCATGCATATCTCTAACCCTAAACATAACAAACATATTTATACCCAATAATAATAATAATAAAAGACTAAATTGCTCTTAGGCATACAAAAGACAAATTTGCCCTTAAACTAGGAGCCCTCGTAACATTTTAATCATAAGATGTTGTCACAAGCCCAATACCCTAAAAGACCTAAACCCAAATATGCAAACATAACACCCTAAATATGCATAAATCTCTAAAAGCCCAGAATAACAAATCATCCCTTGCAAACACTAGAACAAACTAAAATAAATAAATTATAGGCTGAAAACTAAAACTATATAAATCCAAAACCCCCAAAAACACAAAAGGATAGGAACTAGGCTTAATGTTTAAGAAAAATATATATTTCCCATTCCCCACCACCGTAAGGATTC